TTTTGGGAGTTCAAGCCCAGCATCGGGCCCTGCACTGACATGGCAGAGCCTGCTTGGGATTTCTCTCTCCCTCTCTCTCTCTCTGCCTCTCCCTGGCTTGCTCGCTGTCTCTCAAAAATAAATAAACATTTAGAAATTTTTTTCAAATTATTTTAACAGTGTTTGGAAAACTACCATGCAAAGAGTAGAGCTGCGTGCTTTCAAAGTAAGAAGCAAACAAAAATAACCATTAATAACGAGGCAATCACCGCTACATAATATTATAGTCTTCCTAGTACGAAGGAAACATATTCATGCAAGTGAATGATCAATTTTAAAAACAACTTAAACACAAAGACATACAACCGAATCCAGATCAAATAATATAGATTCAAGAAACTTCAAGTATTCCACCGTTAATGCCAAACACTTACGGAAAGATAACATTCAAATCTCCAGGTCTGTCTTTATTTTTTTTTAAGCTTTGGGGGAAGGCTAGGATACTACATGACTTAGTTACCTCACTTATATTATAAGCTTTTTAAAGTATACTAACTTATTTTGAGAGAGAGAACAAGCAGGTTGGGGGCAAGGTGGGGGGGGGCGGAGACAGAGGGTCCCAAGGGGGCTCCGTGGTGACAGCAGAGAGCCAAGTGTGGTGCTCAGACTCCCGAACCGGGAGATCATGACCTGAGAAGAGTCGTACACTTAGCCAGCTGAGACCCCCAGACGCCCCTCTGGTTCGGCCATGTTAGAAGCACCTGCCTAAGACAGTCGAGGCTCCTTTAAACACCTTTGGTAGCTTGAGAAGAACAATTTAACATTCTGAGCCCTAAACTTATCCTGAAACCAGATGACCAGATGAAGAACAGATTAACAGTACTTAAATCTAGGCAGCAATAAAACACATTTCATTTCTTCTGCTTTACGCTGCTTATCAATGCAAAGAATAGTAAATTAAAAATACGGCAGAATACTATACAATTTATACCTGAACAATAGTCACTGTTGGTTTTTCCTTGATTCCTGGGAGTTTTGACAATGACAAAATGAAAGGAATCACAAATTAGTTTGGAAAAGATGTTTAAAATTACAGTAATGGCTTAGAAGCACAACGGTCTTTTCAAACATTAAAAACATTTGGTCAGCTGCCACGTGAATTTTTAAGATCTAAACTCAACAGTAACATTATAATCAGCAGGTGGGGCAAGTTAAGGAAGTGACAATGCGTCTTCTGAAAACGTGTGAGAAGCCTGCCAGACAGGTGTATAAGGAGACGGACAGATTATAACCTTACTAAGGCTCAAAAGTAATTTAAAATACTCTATCGAGCTTGGAAAAGTTAGGGATAAAGCACAACATCCTACACATTCCTAGGGCGTTTTATTGAGCACTTTAAGATAAAGTACTTAAAACTATGATGAAAAATGTCTAAAAGGAAAATCTACGTCAAAAATTGTATGCAGAATCACTGCCTCAGAATCTAATAATTTTAAAAATCACTGATCAATCAAAATACGTAAATTTGTCCAGACTAATTTAAGACAAATCCAAAAGGAATTCTGAATTATTTTTTGAACTGTTCGCAGAGCACGTGCTTTCTTGTAAATATCCATCTTTTTTTAAACACTGTAATTTCAGGGTTTAAAAGAACGTATAGCACTCATTCTCTTCAACTTCACTGTTCTCATTAAATAGGTACTAAGGCAAATAATCTCTCCTTCTTTGGCCTGGCAGTTTCTTATTGGAGTTTGGGAGGTCACAAAGAACCTCTCTAAAAGAAGCATTTATATTGATCACTTCCAAGATTATACTTACTTAAAACCCATGGTCTCCACCTGAGAACTTAAAGAAATGAATTTTCATAACAGCATTAAATGCCAACCAAAAGGCCCGTTACCAATACTCATCTTTTCTGCATGACAAAAAGTCTAACGGTGGGATTTTGTTTGTAAAACTCAGCATACATTTTATCATCCTGGATAAAATATCTACAGCCTCGGTAGTGGTTAAATTGCAGCCATAAAGGAAATTGTCCTGAGATAAATGGGTTCCCTATGAGAAGGTTTCACTGCTACACTTCACCTCAGGACAATAAATCAAATTAACTGCACCTTGTCCTCTGTCCAATGACATCATCAGCTTGACCACATCTTGGGAATCGGGTGCAAAAACATATGCTATTTAAGGCATGAAATCATATTACTGCTTTTTGTCCATTCGACCTCATGCTTCGGGCCTCGGAAGCAGTCAGTCACCTGAACATTCACATGGAAGCTACAGATTTCCCCCCCTCCATGCCCCCCCTGTATTCAGGGCGGCCTACTGGATGTGAAAGTGGAAAAATGAAGAGAACTGGTTATTTGAAATTGGCTTGCTTTTAGCCCATCAAATCTACAATTTGGTTACAAATTAAAGAAGACTTATGTCTCCCAAAATATGTAACTCGCAACTGACCATAAATAAAGTGCCTTATAATTTCAAAGGTTTAACACATCAGAGCTAAGTAACACTTCTCTGGTACTTTACTAGCCGGGGTTAAAAAAAAAAAAAAAAAAAACCCACCAATGAGAAGAAACTCTGTGTTTTTATCCAACACACTAAACCTATATAGAATGAAAAGGAAAAAAAGCTTTACTAAGAGAAAAACCAAAAATGAACATTGTTTCTTCTAAACAACACAAGTTAGCCTGACTTTCACAGGCCAAATGTCCTGATTCTACATAAAACATACAATCAATTCTGACAACTTAAACAGAGGTGGGTGTGCTGGGGGAGAGTCAGTGCCGAGACCAGGGAAGACGCAGGGCTGTGTTTATTCTGCTGTGTTCCCTCATTTAACCAGGACACAAACACTCAAAGAAAACATAACCCCGCTTCTGTTTAGGCATGCTCCCGTTTAAAACCCGCAAACCTGGACAGGGGGGCACAAAATTAATATCCGCCCTATCCTCAATTAGAAGGAAGAAGCTGAAGAGGAAACGCAGCACTGAGGCATTCTGAAAGTGCTGGTAACTGGAATTTCTCACACACTTAGCCATTCTACAACTCCTAGGGAAAAAAACAAAACCCTTGGTTTTACAAGGAGTGCAGACCTTTACAAAACCTCGAGGTGTTGAACTTGGAGGGAGAAGCCAAGGGGCAGGGGGAGCTATCACTAAAGTGACGACACTTACTTGTATGAAGTCAAAAGGGGTTTCACTCGCCTCTGAAAATGAGATTTTTTCCCTCCTTAGGCCTAACACTACTGCAAACTCTCAGAAAGTCCTGTTAGGAGAAACCGAACAGGGCGGGGTGGGGGCTCGGCCCGGAGCTGGCGGAAGGCCGGTTCAGGCCCGGGAGGGTTTGTTTGCCGCGGAGGCCGGGTCCACGCGGGCAGGTTGGGGGGAGTCCCTCGGTTATGAGTGAATAAACCCAGCGGCAGAGGCGAGGCCTAGGCGAGTGCGGGGGAGCCTCGGCCTCGCCCTCCCCGCCCTGCCCGGCGCAGCACGGGCTCGAGCTCACAGCCCGCGGATTGCCAAGGAAAAAAAAAAAAAAAAGAATCATATCGAACCACAAAAGCACATGGGGCGAATGTAAAATATAAACACGGCGTTGGGCTGTGAGTGGCTGTTATTAAAGGTCTGAATTACTAAACATGAGAGGCGGGGAAAGCCAGGCGGCCATTTCAATAATATAAACCTCCCCGAATTAGACATTATTCAAATGAGAGAGGTTCGGCTCCGCAGTCAGCGGAGGGGACCCAGCACCCAGCGCGGAACCGACGCCGCCGAGCCGGGGAGGGGGACCCCCGCCCCTGCCGAACCCCAACGGGCGAGGGGGCATCGAGATCATCAGCTCGTCAGGCCGGCCGGTGCCGGGCAAGGGCAGGAGGGCAGCCTCTACACCCGAGTCCTTGCGAGGCCTCCGGGAGCTTCTGGGGCCTGGGAGCCACAGGCCCTCGGGGGGCGCCGGGGGTGCGGGGGGGGCGCAGGGGGGCGGGGGGCCGGGGAGGCGAAGGCTGGGCCACGCCGGGCACCTCCAGCCCGACTCCCGGGGGCAGGCGCGGTCCACGGGAGACCGGGAGCTCCTCCAGCGCCCCGGGGACGGCTGGCCGACGGTCCGGAGCACATGGGGCGGCCCCGGACGGCATCCCCCGCCGAGGGGAACTTCCCACGAGGGCCGCCTTTCAACCCCGTCCGCCCCGGAGGGGGCGAAGCGGACCCCCTGCGCGGGCTCCCCACCCCCGCCACCCCCCCCCCACCCGGGGCCACCTCGCAGCGCCCGCGACCACTCACCCCCTACCCGCCTGGAGCGCAGGCCTGGCTCAGGTCAGGCCGCCACAGCGCGGACAAGCGGGGCGCGGCCGAGGTGCCCGGGGCCGTGACCCCCCGGCTCAGCCCCGCTCGGACCCCGGGGCGGCGGCGGCGGCGCGCTCTTCCCGGGCGCACCCCCGGCCGCCCTCGGGCCGCCCGCCCCCCCGCGCGGGCTCACCCCCGGCGGGGGGACGCGTGGGGCTGCCCGGCCGCCGGGGTCCGCTCCGGCCCCGCCGCCCTCGCGGCATTGTGCCGGCCGCCACCTCCGTGCCCCTCCGCGCCCCCCCCACCCCGCGCCCGCCCGGCCCGGGGCGCCCGCCCGCGCCCGCCGGCCCCGCGGCTATGAATATGTAAAACGCCTTTATTGTCCTCTCCTGCGCCCCGGCCCCGCGGCCCCGCGGCCCCGCTCGGGCTCGGGCTCGGCGGCGCGGCGGCGGCGGCGGCGGAGGGAGGGCCGGGGCCGCGGGCGGGGTGGGCCGGGGGCAGGAGGAGGGCGCCGGATCGCAGCCCCCTTTGCCCCTGGTCTTCCCCCTCCGCCCGGCCGCCCCGAGCCTCTCTCCCCCTCCGCTCGGCGCCCGGCGGGGGCTCCGCGCTCCCCGGCCCCCCATCTCCCCGCCGTTAATTATAATAATCCTGAGTACTAATAAATTATGCTAAGTCGCGGGGGGGGGCAGCGGAGCCGGGGTTGAGTATGAATATGAATATGTAAAATGCTGTAATGATTACCTGCTGCTGCTGCCGCCGCGGCTGAACTCTCATCTTGACTCGCTGCTCCTCCGTCCGCCATTTTGAATATTTTAACCAAAATCGCCCGGTCGATAAACCCTCCCTCGCTCCGCTCCCCTCCCCCCTCCCGCCCTCCGTGCCTCCTCCCTCCTCTCCGCCCCCTCCCGCTCCTTCCTCTCCCCGGGCTCGCGCCAGGGGGCGCGCGAGGCCGTCCCCTCGGAGGAGCCCCACCCCTTCGGGCGCTCTGCGCACGCGCCGGCCGCCCGCCGCGCCTCCTCGCTCGCGAAAGCGCCCTCACGCTGCCGGTCGCCCCTTGGCCGCATTTTTTCCCCTCTCGGCTCTGCACATGCGCGACTTCCTCCACGCGCCGGGGACGCGGGCGGCGCATGCGTTACCTCTCCTCGGCTCCTTGAAGCGTAACCTGTGTGGGACGTGGAGCGCTCGTCCCTTCTTATAATCCTCCCTCGCGCCCCGCCCCGCGGCCCGCCCGGCGCCACTCCGGGGTCCCCCGGCGGCCCGCGGCCCGCTCAGGAGGGCGGGGGACGCGGCCGCCGGGAGCGCGCAGACGCGCGGGGCAGCGCGGGCGGGCCGGCCCCCGCGGCCCCCGCGCGGCGCGCCGTTTAAGGCTTTCGGCGCAGTTGAACGGCTGACCACGGAGGAGGGGCCGCTGCCCCGCTAGGTAACTTCCGGCCCGGCGGGCAGGTAGGGGCGGAAGCGGCCGCCGCGGGGGGCCGGCCCGAGGCACCTGCTGGGCTGCGCGCGGGCGGCCCGCCTCAAATTTGAATCCTGACCAGTCCCCGCCCCCAGCCCTGCAGACGCCGGAGACCCGGCCGCGGCCTGCGCGAGGGGGCGTGTCCGGCTCTGGCTTTAATTAGCCCGCAGCGCCTCTGCTCTATTCGGTTCTAACACCGCCGGCGTCTGGGGGCCCGGCGTTGGGGTCGCTAACTGCCGCCCCTCCCGCGGTGGGGCGTTGACGCGCCTCGGTCGCCGCCCCCCGCGTCGGAGCGAGCGGTCAGCGCAGCCCGTCGTCTGCACCAACGCGGTCCCCGTTTCGCTTGGGGGCGTGTTGAAACCTCTCCCGTGAGCTGGACGCGGGTGACCTGCCGAATCAAGATGTCGAGACCCGCAGTAGCTTCATCAGGAATTTTACTTCTCTGTGTTTCTCAGAGTAAACATGATAGCAGGCGTCTTCTGTTGTCAATATGTTTATTTCCGTCGTATTCTGAGATTTCTTTAAACGGTGAATTTCCCTGGACAAGACCCAGGTCTAACTCTTTTACGAATTTTTTTAAAAGCCCTCCTGTTTTTCCAGGAGTATTGAAAATAGCCCCCAATGTTTTTCAAGAATAAGAAGAAAGGTGTGTCTCCTGGTAAGCAAAGGGAAAGAAAAGAAAGGTGGGAAGAAAGAAATCCTATATAGTCTCGGCTTGAAGAGAGACATGACTGTGAAGTCTAAATGGAGTCGGACTTGAGATTCTACACTGAAGGAATCGGATCTCTAAGGGAATCAGCGGTTATTCTAACGACTCAGGTTTTAATCACGGGTCTTCGCCTCCTCTTTGAATTCCTTACCCCGAGCAAGTACAGTTGACGCGATTGTCAGTGACGGCCAATGAATTTGGGGTGGGATTGATTTATTCATGGTAATTAGGCCTTAGGGTGTGTACATAACTGTTCAAATAATTGGACCACCATATAATCTAATTATTTCAAGCCACACCAACACCACACAGTTAAGGAAATGCAAATTTCAATCATGTCACAATTAATCCGGAAATGTGGCGTAAGCTATATTCAACAGTATTACTGTAGGGGAAGACATGCCCCTCCTCTGAGGGTAACGAATTTGAAATTACCTCCACTAAGACAACCCAAATACCTTAAATTCCCATCTTCTGTTTACCCTTTGTTTTGCTCTTTTGTTTAAGAAGTAAGTTAATAGGACTTTCAGAAAGTAACTGAAGCCAGTGCAAGTGCTATTCATTCTTTATCTCATTTCCATAAAAAGAAAATTTCGTGGGGTGAATTTTTATTGAAGGAAGAATAGCTCTGTGAGGGAAAAAAAATACTTTAAAATAGCCTATATCAATGATTCATTTTCCTCCTAATGAAAATATTTATGCCTGGGCATCGTAGATCTTCATAAATATTTGCTGAATAAAAAATAATGAATAATACAGGTATATATGTTGGGATTATTTTAAAAATTGATAAAGTCATTTAGTCAACAAATATTTATGAACATCTGCATTCTGCCATAAACTTTACTCGGGTGGTGAAAATGCCAAAATGTATAAAACACTGCTTCGACCTCAGCACACTCATGTGTATCAATTCTTTTTTTCAATCCTCACAGCTCTGGGAGGTAGAAACTTAATCCCAATTTTCCAGGATGGGGAAATTGAGACATGGAGATGTTACATAACTTGCCTATATTAGGATTCTCCACAGAAACAAAGCCAAAATCAGATATACTATATATATATATATATATATATGACTTTCATTATGACGTTGACACTTGAACAAGGCAGGGTTTAGGATTTCTGACTCCCCCCCCCACACACACACACACGCAGGCAAAAGTCCAAGGATAGCTTTTAATTCCTCAAAAACTTAACTATGAACAGCCTCCTGTTGCTGGGAGCCTTACCAATAACATAAATAGTCGAAGAGTCGATCAACACTATTTTGTATGTTATATGTATTATAAATAAATATAAAATGACATTTTGTTATATCTAGTCTACATATGTTATATGTTATATTCTTAACAATAAAGCAAGCTGGAGAAAAGAAAATGCGGTAAAAACCTCACAGTTACAGGACTATACAGCAAAAAAATCTGTATGTAAGTGGACCTGCATACTTCAAACTCCTATGGTTCAAGGATCAACCATATACATGAAAGAGATTTGTTACAAGGAATTGGCTTATACAGAGAACTGTGGAGGTTTAGAAATCCACTTTATGTTCCATCTACCATTATCCCAGACCCTTAATATCCCTTCCCACACAGGTTCCCTAGATTTCTGTCTGTATAAATTAGAAAACTCACGTAGCACTTTCGGAGTGGAGTACCCCTCCTCAGGAGTCAGATAATGCTCAGTCCGTGATGAGCCCCTCAGGTCTCAATAACAGTTTGGTGACCCCAGGGTAAGCATGCAGGCTCTACTAAGGTCCAGTAGAACCCAAGAGCTATTTCTCAAAAGAAGAATATTCTCCAGAGAGGATGTCAGGCTTTGCTCTAGAATCCTGAGGGTCTGGGCTGCAAGTTAGGGCCTCCCAAAGGCCCTAGGTGTGTCCTTACCTGGCAGGGATAGCACGTACCTGCCACTTCCAGCACCACTGGACCTACTGGATCATGTGGCCCAGATGACAGAGCAGCTGGCACAGCACTCTGGGCGTGTCGTGGACTCTCTCCTCATCCAATGGCTTTTTGAGTCACTTGGAAAATGACTTGGAAATGAGGACTATATTGCCTCCAAAATCCAAAGAGGCCCACTCGGCATCGTGCCTCTTTCTTGATTGTAGGAGGGGCCAGAGGCAATCACTGACACTCTATCCTAGAAGGGATCTGCTGACATGCCGCACACCACTGAACCCCTAAATTTTTCACTGAGATAGAAGGCCCCTGGATTTGTGCCAGCTTTCCCACCCTGTGACACACCGATGTCTTCCCGATAGGTCTAAGGCTGTTAGTACTTCTTGCTCAATCAGCATGAGATCATCAGTATAATGGATCAGAATAGCCTGTGGAAAGGAAAGGAGATCAAGATTCCTTTGAACAAAATTATGACGTAGAGCTGGAAAGTGGATGTACCTCCGAAGTGGGGCAGGGAAGGTGTATGGCTGGCCTTGGCAGCCAAAAGCAAACTGCTTCTGGTGGTTCTTATTGACAGGGTTGGAGAAAAGGCATCTGCCAGCCCGATAGCTACTCATCAGTTTCCAGGCGGTGTGTTAATTTTGCTCAAGCAATGACACCACATCTGGTACAAGTGGAGTCACCCCCTCGTTCAGTTTACAATAATCCACTGTCATTCTCCAAGACCCACCTGTCTTCTGTACAAGCCACATAGGAGAGATAAATGGGGATGTGGTGGGAACGACCACCCCTACATCATTCCAGTCCTTGATGGTGGCACTAATCTCTGCAATCCCTCCAAGAATGCAGCGTTGTTTGGGGTTTACTATTTTCCTAGATAGAGGTAGATCTAGTGGCTTCCACGTGGTCTTCCCCACTATAATAGCAGGTCCTTACTCCACAGGTCACAGATCCAGTGTGGGAATTCTGGCAACTGCTTCAGTTTTTCAGGATGGGGAAAATTGAGGCATAGAGGTGCTAAGTAACTTGTCCAATGCCACACCGCTATTAAACAGTAGAACGGAGGGGCGCCTGGGTGACTCAGTCTGTTGAGTGTCCGACTTCGGCTCAGGTCATGATCTCATGGTTCATAGATTCAAGCCCCTTGTTGGGCTTTGTGCTCGCAGCGAGGAGCCTGCTTTGAACTCTGCCTCCCTCTTTCTCTGCCCCTCCAACTATTGCGCCCATGTGCCTGTACTCTCTCTCTCTCCCTTTCAAAAGTAAATAAACATTAAAAAAATTTAAGTGGTAGAGCTGAGATTCCTATACAGGTCAGGTGCTTACTCTTTCTTAACTAACAGTCTGCTGCTTGCTTTGGATCAGGCAAAATCCCAGAGCTTCATATGTTTCAGTGTGGAAAAAGAACACAGTGATAAATAATGTCCTTGCATGTAATCTCATCATAATAAAAATATGGGTGAAAACTTAGGTTTGCACAGAAACATACACAAATAGCCATTCTATTATAATTGCCAAAAACTAGATAATATCCAAATGTCCTTCCTCAGGTGAATGCATAAACAGGCAGGGGTGCATTCATACTGTGGAATGCTATTCAGTGATAAAAAGGAATGAACTATGGACACATACAACATACATTGACTTCAATAAATCTCGGAGACGCTGAATGAAAGAAGGCAGGCTCAAAAGGAATCCTACTATATAGTTCTATTTACATGACATTGAAATCACAAAACTACAGTGATGGAAAACAGATCAGTGAGTAATGGTGGGAGAAGGTGAAACTATAAGGGAGAGGCAAGTGAGAGAATTTTGGGGGGTTCTGGATCCTGATTGTGCTGGTGGTGACAAAAATCTATATATATGGTTTTATTCATACACACACACATGCACAAGGTATAGAAGTAGTCAAGGGTATGAGGAAGTCTGCCTACGTATTACTGTTACTGGTCATTCCTCATTACCAGTAGGAATGTGTGAAGGAGAAGGTGTCAGTCCGTCTTGCTCATGTGCACCACGAAAGCCTTTGCAGCTATGTGTGACCATGTGACACCAGTTTAGCTACTGAGTTTAAGGAGTTGTTGGGTAGGATTTCTGGGAAAGCTCTTAAAGCAGGCCCCTTTCTCCTTTTTTCCCATCCTGCCATCTGGAACACAGATACCGTGACCAAAATTCCTGCAGGTGTTTTGGGCTATGGGGTGATGTTGTTCCCAAGATATCAGGCCACGTTAACGGCAAGAAGCAAATCAGATCTTGTCCACAGGCTGGAGAGAAGCCTGGCATTACCTTCCTGGTACTGAAGTTAACTCTTGATGCTCAGTTAGTTTTGTTAAAGCCTGAAGAATCCAGACTCGGGGGGGGGGGGGGGGGCAGTATTTTAATGCTTGTAATTACCCTGGGTGACTAAATTAAAAATTGTCATTTTTTAAATAAACATCTTCAACATTTTGCCTGGTCATAAATATTATCATTCTAATAGAGCGTATTAATTTGTTTAGTGACCTAGGGATGTATTTTGTAACAAATTACTCTAAACTCACTACAGCGGAGGCTTCCAAGCTGTGTTTCCTGAAGCCCTTCAGGTGGGATGAAAACCAACCTTCTACCTCCTCTTCAGCCAGGAAGGCTCTGCCTTACCTCTGTTGGAGTTTAAGATGATGTTTCATTTGAAAACATGTATCATTGCTTTTTAAAAAGGGGTGTGTGTGTGTGTGTGTGTGTGTGAAATTTACAGTTTCATTGCTTAAAGATGCATACGCTATGGATACTTTATCCAAGTAAAGCAAGCTTGGCAAAAGTCACTTCTAAACACAAAATAACCCATGGTCATTGTATATGAAGCATCAGGAACTT